CTATAATAAAATAATTTTGAAAGTACAATGATGTAGTAAGAAAGTCACATCACTATAGTACTTGTGGACAGCCTACGTGGACGATTAGGTGGCATGGAAACCTAGTATAATAGGTAAATTTAAATCAAAAGGTTACTCAATGTTAAAATTGGTAAATTTTTCAAAGTACAATGTCTTAATAAAAAATAGTTTAAAAGTACATTGTTGTAATAAGAAAAACTGAAAGTACAATGCTATAATAAAAAAAATTATGAAAGTAGATTGCTATTTTGTGCATTTTACCGTTAAAATTAATTAAAAAATGTATCACTAAAATTAATTAATAATTTTTAAATAATTTTAATTAGTATGAGTTAATGTTTATTTTTATTTAATATTTATTAATAATTAATATTCAATATTTATTAACAATTAATATTAATTAGAGAACCTCCATTGTGGATGTTCTTAAGGTTAAAGTCGTAATTTATAGCATTTAGATTATTTGTTGGATTTAAAAATAATTAAGAAAACTAATCAATGGTTAAAACACAAAATGAACAATTAAGAAATGATTAATGATAAATTTGGGATTAGATTCAAACTTGAATCACATGCTTACCTTATTTGACTTTTTATTTTTATTTTTCATTAAAAATAAATTTAACCCCTTAATTTTAAATTAAATTATTTTTAAAAAATAATATTTTAATCAAACAAATTTCATGGAAAAACGAGTATTTCTTTCTTTTTGATTTGACTTCCTCTCGATAGATTTTTCTTTTGTTTTAACGCTTTTTCATGTGAAACAACAACACTTTAGGATTCATACATCAGTATGGTATTTATCATGAATATACTACTCAGTATAACATTCATCAAGAATATATATATATATATATATATTCATGTATATACAATGAATCTTTAATTTTCATACATCATTATACATTAATCATGGATATTCATACTCTAGTTTTTCTTTTAATTTAATGGATCCTCGATGAGTTCTCGATTCGTCTCGATGTGTTCCAGATCCATCTTGATAAATTTTGAAAATGGTAGGTTATGATTTTACACACACAAACACACAATAAAAAAAATTGATATTTTCTCAATCAGTCTTGATGAAAAATGAAGGTGGTAGCTTATAATTTTATACTCACAACCACACATGACCAAGTCAGTAGATGGGTTCTCGATTGGTCTTGGTCGGTCTGGATAGGTTCTCGATTAGTCTCGATGTGCTCCCGGTTGGTCTCGATGGTTCCCGATCCGTCTCGATAAAAAATGAAAGTGGTAGATTATGGTTTTGCACATACAAACACATCGGCCTTGTTGGAAAATGAGGTTGGTAGGTTATGGTTTTACACACCAAGTTAATGAATGGGTTCTTGATCGGTCTCGATGGTGTTGCGGTGATGAAGGACGGGGTGCCCAACTACGTATTTATGACGTTGAAGAATGTGTTTCAGGTTACACACTTATGGTGTTGAAGAAGAGGTTACGATGTCGAACTATTGTACACACTTTAGGTACATGAATATCCGTAACGAATATTACACACACACACACACACATATATATATATATAACAATAAACGTAAAAAATGGTTAAAACGAAGAAAAAAAACTATATTGAAATGGTTTGTAATTGAAACTCTCTCTCTATCTTCATATAAATACATACATACATATAGAGGTGAGTTATTATGCAATCCCTTACATTTGTACAACCAATACAACTCAATCTCCATCGTCCATTTAATTTGATGAATATGTGATTTCATAAAAGTTTTGATTGTTTTCTAATATAAAGTATTGATCATAATTAATGAAGGGTAGTCATTTTGTGTTTTTACCAAATAATTGGAAATGAGATGGAATTGAATAGTTTAATGGTAATGGTGCATGTTGGTGTAGGCAATAAGTGTGAACACGAATTCATGGACAAATGCTGGGCATGCTGCAAATCAAATATATGATATGCTTTACATGATGGGCCGAGATGATATTGCTGTTGGTGTTGGAGGTGAGGGTGGAATCCTCCAAGACGGTACAATCCTACCTAATGTTGGAGGCTATCTTCCTATAATTGACCAGGTATCTATATATACTTTCATCCGTCGATTTCATTGTTTAATCTTATGAAATTTTTTCATGAAATTGTTTAATCTTGTGAAATTGTTTCATATTTTTTTTGATGAAGTTGTTTCATATATGGTTATGAAATTATTTCATATAATATTTAATGAAACTGTTTCATGTATTTCTCTAAAATTAAAATAATGAAGATGATAATATTCATGATTAACACCATCCACAATAAAAATGATTAATCAACCTCTCATAATTACAAAAAAAAAAAATGAACAAAATAAAAAATTATGATTGGTTGAATGAAGTTTGTACGGTTTGTACAAATAACGTGGTTTGCAAAGTAAACCTCCTCTACATATAATTGACAACGTATATATATACATATACATATATGCAATTATTTCATTCAAGATTTTCGTCAATTAATTTACATTGAGCAGATAATTAATAGAATATTATCGTGAGTTTGACGTTGTTAAGTTATGATCAGGGACTCGGCACAACCGGACCTTGTAGATATAGACAAGCTATTCCTATCGGAGGTGGTGGAAGATTAGACATCGACACAAACTATGGTTTGCGAAGAAGCATTCTTCCACAGGTATTATTATTACTACGGTGTTTTCGGGTTTTTGCTTGCTGGGATATGTCTATACAATGCGTTCGTTTATGTTCATTTTGTGTCATATAAAATCCGATTTTGTTGTTGTAACATCCCAAGTCAACTGTATCAGGTATCGTCCGCTTTGTCCACACACTTGGACTCACAGATTTAAAACGCGTATGATAGAGGAGGTATCAGTCCTTTATAAGGCAACATTTATTCCCCTCCCCAACCAAAGTGAGATGATATCTTACAATTGTGGTGGTGGGACTCCAACACGCTCCCTCATAGGAGGAGAAAAACAATGTCGAGCCCCTGGATGGTCCTAGACCATGGCTCGTATACCAAGTTATGATATGTGAAACCCTTTTAAACCCCTCTCTAAAATTGCCCTCTCGAGAAAAGAGTGAAGGTTCGTCTATGACTATATATAAATTTAATGGTCTGTGTTTAACGAACACGACTCTCCAACAAACCAAAATGGATCGTGTTGATATATACTCGTGACTCGAATGTTGTTCTTTCGTTATCGACCAGGGAAGCAGGAGATACGCACCTCTTCGACAGCCGACTGCACAGGAAGTACTGATCAAGACGATATCGGAGGGCCCGATTAGCGTATTTATTATCGGAATACACACAAATTTTGGTATTTTTCTTATGATGAATCCACATTTAAAGAAAAATGTGAAGCATATTTATATCATGGGTGGTGGTGTGAGGTCCAAAAACCCAACTGGTTGTTGTCCCAAAAATGACACATCTTGCCAGCCTCAGCAGTGTGGTGACCATGGCAACATGTTCACTGCCTTCAGAAGTAATCCTTATGCTGAGTTTAACTTCTTTGGTGACCCATTTGCTGCATATCAGGTATTCTTAAACCCTAAACCCTAAACCCTAAATTCAATGCAGAACGAGGAGTTTTCTGATTACGCTCCCGTCTGTTTGTTTGCAGGTTATTCATTCTGGGATTCCGGTGACCCTCGTTCCTTTGGATGCTACGAATACGATTCCCATTACTCAAGAGTTCTTTGAGACGTTTGAGCGTAATCAACAAACGTATGAAGCGCAATACATTTTTGAGTCGTTGAAGATGGCTCGTGATACTTGGTTCGACGATCAATTCTTTACGGTGATTGTAGTTGATTTTAGTTAGGTTTTCGACAATCGTCGGTCATGAGTAGTGTTGATCGGTTCGTATATAAACAGTTTTGATTTTATCGTGATCGTGTTTTGATTTCACAGAGTTATTTCATGTGGGATTCGTTTATGTCGGGTGTTGCTACATCGTCTATGCGTAACATGTATGAACCCGAGAAAAATGAATTTGCTGAACTGGAGTACATCAATATCACCGTGATTACGTCGAACACGCCTTATGGGATATCTGATGGCTCGAATAATCTCTTCGATGGGCGGAAGATCTCGAAATTCAAGTTGCAAAAAGATGGAGTTCATAGCGGTCATGTTCAAACCGGCATTCAAGATCCGTTTTGCCTCCGTGAGAACGGGACCGGGATATGTAAGGTAATTCAGTTCAATCGTCGTATACACTGCGTTATAGGACCAAACGATAAAACGTCTAATGAAAAGTGTTACAATAAGTTTTTATAGACGTTTTTGAACGTCTTAACACATTTTTAGTACACTTTTGAAATAAAACGTTTTAGTTTTTTTTATATGATGTGAAAAAGTCTTATAAAAAGATGTGTTCATATGACACTTATCAAAAGTGTCCAATAAAATAGCTAATGCGATATTTTATTTTAAAGATATTTTAAAGAACTTGTTAATACGTCCACAAACGTCCTGTTGACTTATTGCAATGGTTTTAGATAGGTTGATTTATTGTTTGGTACTATAAATTTAAGTCAAGCAGTCTATCAGGATACTTAAACATTTTTGACTTCCTATAAACCCGATTTTGTTTGTAGTGAAACACAGAGCAGAACAACAACCCGATGGTGATCATATCGTATTGTTGTAATGTTTTATTTCAGGATGGTTATACGGAAGAAGTCACCGGACCGGACTCAGTGCGTGTACTCGTTGCTACTCGGGCAAAACCAAATGTCGACAAAACAAGCTCATTGGACAGAGAATTTTTTGTTAATTTTCTCGACGTAAGTCGATAACCGTGGTATCTGCTTTTTCTTCATATTCATCTTGTTTAAGCAAGCAAGTGCCAAGCTTTTTCTAACATTTCGAACTCATCCTATCGTGATCTATCGTTCATTTCGAATTATATCGAGATATATGATGATAACGGAAGCTTTCTAACGATCCAGGTAGTAAACCGACCTCAAAATAGAGGCCGATTCAATTTCACGTCCGAATTCCCTCATTACAAGGAAGTTTTCTACAAACCCGATCTCAAAGGGAAGAAACTCGGAAAGATTGTGGTGTTCGATATGGATATGAGTCCCGGCGATTTCTTGGCTCTATTTTATCTCCTCAAAGTACCCATTGAAGAAATCTACCTCAAGGTAATGTCCAGGGACGTTCCAATCTTTTTGGAGGCTCTGTTACATTCAAAACTTTTGATTACAATGCATAAATGAGATAACAGAGAATATAAGTTGAGAACAAAAATAGGCTAAACCTAAACGATTAACAATCTGAAACTAAATATAAACCATTAATGATTTGAACCTAAAACCAAACACTTAATGGTTTGAATCTAAATAATTTTGGCTATAGTTTTACACATGTCGATAAAAGATCCTAAACACATGTAAATTTGGGCCCAAAATTTCGGGGGCCTGTTCAAAATCTCATATTTAACATGCTAAGTGACGGCCCTGGTAATGTCATCTTCATCGTTCTAGTTTACGCACCAAAACGATAGCCGCTTTGACAATTTACAAAATCAGATTTATAGGACGTCGTTACGTCTAAATGTCATAATATATAGATTGTTTAATATGACTTAAAGTTTATAGAATCAAACAATTATGCGCCCTATATAAATGTATTATAATAAGCTGAAATGATTCGCTCTTATCGGGTAAGATTCTTAGTCTTTACCATATTCATCCGCTGAGGTAATGTGACTTGGTAAGCGCTTACTCAGGTAAGTGTTTGGTAACCGGCCCCTAAGTCCTATAAAATCAGTTAAGACATTTGTTTTGTGCATCCAAAACTTATTTTGTTTAGATGAACATATGGGGACTAAGGTGCAATGGCTTCATCTTATTGCAGGCAGTACTAGTAACCGGAACCGGTTGGGCGAATGCAGCAACGATAGACGTGGTCTATGATTTGTTACATATGATGGGTCGTGATGACATCGTTGTTGGCTTAGGAGATTCGTTTGGTTTGAACCAGTCGTATCCGAATAACCCCAACGTTGGTGACTGCAAGTATTCCGAGGCTATCCCACACGGAAATGGTGGCCGATTGGACTCGGACACTCTCTATGGACTTGCTCGCGATTTACCACGAAGCCCAAGAAGGTACTCGTTAGTTGTCACTGCAACAATGTTTGTTGTATAAAACGTCTAAATGTCTTAATAGACTGACTTGTAAAATTTATAGGACCAGACGATTGTGTGTTAGATGTGTTACAGTAAGTTAGGACGTTTTTCGGCTTCCTAACAAGTTTGAAGTCACGTTTGTAGTTAAACGTGCTATCAGTATTTTTATATGATATTACGTGAAAGTTTGTACGAAAGAAATTGAACTTTTTGAAACCAAGGGTTTGATTGGTTTATTTGCAGGTACACAGCGGAAAATTCTGTCGCATTTGGAGCCCCTCGTGATACCGATTTCCCTAAACTTCGACAACCGTTAGCAATAGAAGTTTGGAGATCGCTAGTGAAATCCATCGATCAAGGATCTAAAATCACAATCTTGACGAACGGACCATTGACAAACTTAGCAAACATTCTACTTTCGGACACAAATTCTAGCTCGTTCATTCAGGTGAGTTAGGATCGATCATATTCTTCATATCATCATCAGTGGTTATATAAATCCGAGTAAATTCATTTGGGAATCGTAAATATTTTGAGAACCTTGTGAATCAATGAATTTCATGATCATTCACAATGAATATTCATGATATTCACAATGAATGATCATGATATTCACAATGAATGATCTATTCATAATGAATGATCATGATATTCAGAATGAATGCTCATGATATTCATTTGTTCTCATGGTTCATAAAATATTTACGGTTCTCAAATGAATCCAAACCATTTAAATCTGGTATGGATCTAATACATAAATTACAGGAAGTATTTATACTAGGTGGGCATATCAACTCCAAGAACGACGAAGAGAAAGGAAATGTGATCAATATTCCTTCAAACGAGTACGCCGAACTGAACATGTTTCTCGATCCTTTGGCTGCAAAGACCGTCTTCGAATCATCACTTGATATCACGCTCGTTCCTCTTCGTATGCAACGGAAACTCTACGCGTTTCCAGAGATCATAGAAAGGTTGAAACAGAAGAACACATCTGAAGCTCTTTTCACTCGACGTTTGCTAACGAAGCTTGATCGCTTACAACAGAAGCATTACAGATATCGACATACGGTAGTGCATTCGAACTACCCTTACTTGCAATGGAACTTATATGCACCACAACAACATCATTCTCGATCAAATACGTCTATATGTCATAATAGACTTTATAAAACTTAAACTTATAGCACTGAAACAAGTGTGCATCCTATAAAAAAGTGTTAACCACAAGCGTGGTGCCTGATTGGTTTGAGCTTGGCTCCAAAGGTCAAAAATACCAGGAGATCCCAGGTTCAAATCCAAGGAGGAATAAAAATCCCCTTGTGGCCACGGAGGTTCAAATGCGGTGACTCCGGGCTATCTGCTTTGCAGGTGGTCGCCCTAGGATTAGTCGGCTCGTAAAGCGGGTTGGATATCCAGGTTAATAAAAAAAATGTTACAATAAGTTGATAGGAGGGACAAAAAGGTTTTGGACGTCTTACACAAGTTTTTTACAGCAATTTTGAAGTAAAATGTCCTATTATGGGCCGTTTATCAAACACTTACCCTGTAAGTGTCTACTGGTAAAATTTAACACTATTATGTATTTATCGGGTAAGATTTTAGTCCAGCAAAACGACATAGCATACAACAATTTACCCGGTAAGCGCTTACAGTGGTAAGAGTCGTCACTCTCACTTACCGGGTAAGACTCTTGGTCTTTGTCTCGCTCTTACAGGGTAAGATTCTTGGTCCTTACTATATTCATCCGATGAGGTAATGTTACTTGGTAATCGCTTACCCGGGTATACAACACTTCCAAAAAATATCATATAAAAAAGCTAATAGGACATGTTATTTTAAAAGTCTCCAAAAAACTTGTTAGGATGTCCAAATAATGGCTTAACCAGTAAGATGGACGATCGTTGATCCTATAAATTCAAGTCCTATAAAACAATTCATTAGGTTATTTAGGCGTTTTTAACGTCCTATAAAGTTTGGTTTTGAAGTGGTGTGACTGCACAAATTTCCCGATTAAAATTTCGAATATATGTTGCAGGATACGTTCATCGGAGAGATTTTAGGCGCGGTTATTTTGGCCGGTGATCAACAAATTCTCAATTCGACCTTCGAATCGAAGCATCTAAAGGTCCATGCGGATGGAAATTTATCGAAGGATGGAGAAGTCATTGTTGACACAGAAAAAACGAAAGGATTCGTCAAAGTATTGGAGGACTTCAATCATGTGTCGTGTTACGTTATCTATGTAGATCGTCTCGCAAGCCGAAATCAATCGGCTGTTATCGGAAACTTTGACGAGCAAAAAAGGCGTTGGAGTTCACCGTAAACGATAACCAAATTACGTGATGTGTGCACCTCCTTTGTGTTTTTTAACTTGTTACAATAAATTTAAGTGTATGTATATCATCGAAAAACCCTGTTCTGTTTACGATAAAATAAATAAACGAATTAAAGGGAACGTAACTTAAACTACTTCAGATAATTAGTTGACTACGACATTACGTTAAACGAGCGCAAGAAATGTCGAACGTGTCGGTTGACGTTTACGAACAATTAAAAAGAGGCATTAAGAAAAGTTTACGAACAAAGTGAGAATCGATCTCGATATGCTTTCAATAAAAAATTGTTTTTAAGATGCCGCTTATTTATTTCATATGCTACGCGACGACATGTCATTGCAATAGGCTTTGATATATATATCCCAAATCCGCTACCGTTTTCTCATGAAACACGCTTCTTGTTTTAAGAGAAAAATCTCTCCTCGATCTCTCTCACTCGTTGGTCATCTTACGTCGCTTCTCGGGCATGGACGAGTTGGTCGTTGTAGATGTCTATAGCGACTATATGTCGTCATATAGACTATGAGGTTGTTTGGTACTTGCTGAATGGTTTGGTGCAGAATGATTAAGTGGTCGAAATGATTAAGAGTCTCTCATGATATAGTGCAAAATGAAATATAATTGTCTGGTAATTGTTTACAATGAAATTAGGGTGCTGAATGGTTAAGGGAAAACCTGGATACAAAATCATTCAGAGGATTTTATAACCATTAAGAGACATTTTTTTTGTCAAAGAAGATTCATCTCTTAATGATTCAGAAGCTGCCTCTTAATGGAACTATTAAGAGGTAAACAAACAACCCTATATTAATTTGCGAAAATCAATCTAGTCTATAACGACGACATGTCATAGATTGTTGATGAAATATAGCAACGAGACGACTTCGCTATACCTTTTTGGATAAAATATTTTTGTTTTAATAAAAAAAACTTATTTAGGAAAACTAAGGGGTTGTTTGTTTACCACTTAATAGTTTCATTAAGAGATAGTTTTTGAATCGTTAAAAGGTGAGTCTTGTTTGGCGAAAAAAGGTCTGCATCTTGTTGCTTCTAAAACTCTCTGAATGATTTTGTATCATGAGCATCTTTTAAGTTTGAATGAGATTCACTAATCGTCCAATCTAGCACTGTAGCTTCGGGATCTTTTTTTTTTGTCACGGTCTGACTTGGAAATTAATGATGTTGGCTTACATCGGAATGATCGAGGTTTGAATTTGCTTCAAGGATTGCTTGGGTAGCTACGACCAAGTACAACACATCCAGTCACTCGATAATTGAACTTCCCTACAACGATGACGAAATGGCTGAAGAAGAGGAGGCCAATATACCGGGCCTCCAACAAGGCGAAACTAGAACCGACGGTAATTTTTGACGATCAGTCTGATATACAGACCATGAAATCAATTCTAGTGGATGTCCACTAGAATTAGAGGTTTTAAACGATTCTTATGTATTTTATGATTTTTAACTAGTTTTAAAGTTCACATATTTTCTATTAATATTCATAATCAAATAAAATGAGATACTATTTGATTGGATGATATAACGTTTTATTTAACCTTTGTTTGTAGTTTATAGCTTAGGGGCTGTTTACCAAACACTTACTTGGTAAGTGTTTATCGGTAAAATTTAACATTATTATTTACTTATGGAGTAAGATTTTAGTCCACCAAAACAACATTGTATACAACAATTTACTCGGTAAGCGCTTACTGTGGTAAAAATTGTCGCCCTTACTTACCGGGTAAGAGTTTTGGTCCTTGTCTCGCTCTTATCGGGTAAGATTTTTCGTTCTTATTATATTCATGCGGTAAGATAATGTTACTTGGTAAACGCTTACCCAGATAAGCATTTGATAAATGACCCCTTAGTCATAATATTAATAAGGAAGTCATAGGCCCAATGCCAATTTTTTCAAGGCCCGATTAAAACCCACTATGAAGAAAGCCCTCTTTCTACCACAAAGCTTAAACCAAAAATGGGCTTACCAAAAAAAAGCCTGGACCTTGTACATTTTTACTTGTGAATAGTGATGGCTAAAAACCGGTTCCGGGACAAGCCGAGGCGGTCTTAATCGGTCCCAAACTTTTTCATAACCGGTCCCGGTCGAAAATGGTAGGACAGGTCAAGGTTCTTCATAACCGGTTATGGATCGTCGGTTCCGGTCCCAACCGATTCCGGCATTAAAAACTAAGATTTTATTTTATTTTTAATGATATATATTTTTAATACATTATAAAATTTACAATTTGGTCACTCAATTAACTTTAAAAATAAGTTTTAATAATATTAAAATTACATTGTCATATAAAAATACATTATAATTCTTTTTGAAAACACATTTATTTATATAATTATTTGAATTTTCGGGTCGGGCCGGGCCGGTCCATAGCCGGTCCCGGTCCCACCAAAACTGCCAAAAACCCCAACCGGCCCCGGTTTTTCGGTCCCATAACCGAACCTTACCGGTCCCAGGTCGGGCCAATTTGGCCATCACTAATTTCTATTACCACGCAACTTTGGTTTCATCACGTCGTTGGCGCAATTTTGGTTAGATAATGTCGTTAAATCGTCACCATTGATGGAGCCAACGCAAACGTCAATAAACTAAAAACACAAGTCGGAAAGTCCGTACCCTTTGTCGATAAAAAACATCATTTTTCAACATCCGCCAGAAAAGGAATAAAAACCTCCTGCATTTTGCTACCATCGTCAAAACTTGGAGATACGGAAGGCTTTTCATCCTACCAAAATAATTATAACGACTATAATACACTCATTTTAATTTTCCAATTTAGAATCCTCCGATGAAATCTTCATCATCGCCACTACTCAACGACTCGATCAGCTCATCATCATCGCCATCATCATCCTCATCGCCATCTTCACCATCGGTCATGATCTCAAATATCCCACCCTCGCCATCAAAGTCCATACCATCCATCACGAAATCACCATCATCCCCCTCATCATCATCATCGAGATCGCTCAAACTATCTTCATCATTACTCATATCGTCACCATCTTCATCATTTCCCAACAACGCATCTTCGTCAATATCCTCATCGTCTTCATCTTCATCTTCCTCTTCGCTTTCCGCATCGTCTGGATCGGAATCGTCGTCTGTAGGTTTCCGCCGGCCGATTTCATAGACTCGGGACGAAGAATACATCTCGTCTTGGTCGTCCATCGTCACCAGCCCGACGAAAGAATCAGTGGGCTCGGTCGCGAAATCGAGAACGCAACGGTCGACCGGAATAGTGGCGATGTCCGAGTAGTTGACGGCATCTAATGTTCGGAAAGCAGAGAATAAAGGATGCTTAACGCGTCGGGTCTGGAAGGCTGAAGTAACTTCTTCTAGATTTCTTCTCAGAATTGCATATATCACGTCGCCACTGGCATTGAAGGTTATCACCGTTTGATCCAAGGAGGGTACGCTTCGGAGAAGCCTAAAGTTTCGAAGATCCCACACTTCAGAATTTATGATTACCTGTTCAAAAAGAGGATATCATCTTCAGTGAAGAGTAATACGAAAAATGAATGGATATATTAGATTGTCGTATATTAAGCTAGCCGGTGCAAGTAACTGCAAAACAGGATATCGGCAACGGAATGAATGTATTACCACCCTCGGAAAAAAAAACATCTAAAACGCTACCCCCCAGGAAAAGTTCATACCCCCTCCAATACCGTGAAAATTGCAGAGTTTGACTAGAAACATGTACGACTATTTGCCAAATATCTAGACAACACAAATACAGGTCTTTAGGCTCAAATCAGTAGCATCAGTTCATTTGTAACAATGACAATGAGAAAGATGTTGCAATTTTTATGAGATACCTCAAAAAAAAAGTGTTGCAGTTCCCAAAAAATGGAGTAGCAACAAATATAAAAATTCAACAAGTATTTCAAGTTTCAGGGCAAATTGCATGAAAATGCTATGATTCTTATTTGTGTAACCTACTTTATTTTGGTAGCGCTCATCTCAATCCTTTGGATACACATCTAAAATTGCAATGTACCTTGATCAGAATCCTATTTTATGTAACGTACTCTGGTCTAAAGGTTTGAGATATCACATCTGAGGTACCAAAATTAAGACTTTGGAATTACGTATAATCAGACAAACAAAGTTGCATTTTCATGAATTTTGTGCAAGTTTCAACTATAAAACATGCATAATCGACAAAGGCCCACATCTTTAACATGTTACGTCACTACTTACTTAAACCACTTATGCCACATTCATCATATGTGGTTACAAAATTACCAAAAAGGTCTCCAATTCTGTCTTCCAGACCTGGACCCGATACTAATATGAACCAAAAAAGATATATTTAAGATTCAAAGCCAAATATGGTTAAAATTAGTTATGCAGTAACAGCTGAAACGTACCTCGTTACCAGCAGGATGAAAGCCACCACCCCCATAATCAGTGAATTGATCGAAACGATGGACAGGACCTGGAACACGACGATCCCACAACACACCATTCCAGAGGAGCATAATGTCTGAAGGGCTAAAGTGAACCTGAGAATAAGCATGCCCTTTGCTGGAAGCGCTAGAAGATTGGTCCGTGAGCTTCAAATCAGATTTACAGGTCTGGACATCATATAAGAGAATCTCTCGTCTTGATAACTCAGAAGATAGTGCCGCAAACATGGTCCCACAATGACTGAATGTAGCAGCCTTGATACCATCAAATGAATATCTGGGTCCAGCAGACACCGTAGGTGCATCCCACAATCTTACATCGTGTGAGCTTGAAGAAAGAAGTAACTGGGTATCTCCAGAAATAAAGGATTTGACCATGGTCAAAGGGAACTGATGACCAGGGCTGCTCTCTAACATATTGTTGCTATTTGAATCAAAAACCTTGAGCTCTCCAGAGTGGCTACCAGCAGCAATTTGAGAAGAATCACCAAGAAAGGTAATGCATGTCAATAGGACACCAGTGTCATCCCTACATGTCCGCCATGGTCTAAATCTACTATAGACAAATTGGCGATCCCTGCGACTCCCATGGATTCCACCGTACATATTTCTAAATTCACGTGTGTTAAGCCTAGCAGTGATGTTTGACGGAGCATCAAGGCTTCGTTTTGATTCTGGACAGACATGTGGATGCAAGAGAGAGAGGGGTGGTAATGTGGTTATTGGAGCTGGGCATTGCCGATGTTGGTGCTTTAAATACTGAACAACGATGGAATCCAAGGTTAGTCGCTCAGAAGTGGACTGTGGGTCGAGTGGAAGTCCATGATTGTGTGTGTTATGATTATCATCTAAACCATCAGATATACCAACACTTCCTGGTGTTCTCCAATGAAGGTCCTTAAAAGAACTTGATGTGGAGAACATGGGAGTGTCACCTAGTAAACTGCTTTTACGAACAGTGTTTGGTGTTGGACAGACAGGAGAACGGAATCCTAGGTCACTGGTGTTGAGTCGTTTACTTGACGATGGAGGACCAACATCTCTTAATTCAGTCAGCTTACGCTTCAGGGGCAATATGATTGGAGTTTTGAAGACACTATCTGAATCAACTTGGTTTTCAACTGTAGAAGTTGACGAAGCTTCTGATGTGACGGCAGCAGCAGCAGCAGCAGCAGCAGCAGGAGGCGGCTTCTTTGAGGAACTGATAATTCTGCTGCTTGATGGAGAAGGGTATTCATTAAAGTAAGAAGAAATTTTTGACTGTCCAAGTGCAGATGATATAACTAAAGGCCGCCTCTTTACAGACAAAGATGAATCCTGTTTCAGGTTAGAATCTTCTTGTTGTTTGGATCTCTCTGTAGTAAGAAACCCGCAAGGGGAGCGCCCAGCTGGCCACTGAATCTGTACTGACGAGCTCTCCTGACCAGATGTTTGATATGCTAGAGATGATGGGGCAGCCAACGATTGCAACGGTGTCAGCTGAGCCTCTTTCAAAAGTGCAGATGCAGTCGTTGATAAGCCAGAGGCCTGTAGATGCTCATGAATCAGCAGTAAAAGTTCCCTGAATGACAAACAAATTTTGGTGATGATAAAATCACAAAAAAGGAGTAGATCAAAAAGGAACGAAGATGAAGGAGGAAATAAATACCTAGAATGGTAAGTAATAGGAGTTGCAGCAGCTATTGCAGCTCTCTCGATGCGCCTAAGAGTAGGTGTAGCAGCATCAGTAGCAGCTAATGTACTTGCTCGGCCTGAATTTGTTACAATCTGCAATACATGATAAAATGGCATTGGTTTCAAATAACAGAGGATGCAACTCCACACATATACAAACACTGAAATTCATCGAAAAGTGAATGTCAAGGGTCAAGATATCTTCATTCTGCTAACTTGCAAGTTTCTCCAAGAAACTGTAATGATTGCTGGTTTAATAAGTACCTAATAAATTGCAGAAAATTTATAAGACTTGGTTTGAGCAAATGCATGCCATTCTGTCATTAATCAGCAAATGCAATTGTGCTATATTAGTTTCACTATGTGCATCTGGTCAAATAAACCAAACCAAATATCACAATATATCCCGCTTGAGAGCAGGATCCGCCTGGCATCTACCCCAGACAGATAATGTCACAATATTTTTTGCTTATATTCACTTTCAGGTGGTATTATAGATGGATCATCTCTAATCAATGTCAGTCAAAATGTAATTCCATGTAGCATCAAAAGTTAAATACACGAAACCTCAAAGACGCAAAAGCTGCATTTTTCAAATAAATGATATACATACCGCCATAAGCTCAATTGCGACCTGAGATAGTTCTGTCTGCCACCTCCCCTGTTCGCCGCCCGGTGTCTGACTGCCAGAATCCCTAATGAGTTCTGATAACTTTTTCCCAACCTAAAACAAGATAAATATTTCAAGATGAAGCCAAAGAAATCGTATAGGAGAGATATCACTCTGGATGAACAAATGCAGCCAAGAAATCTATCTTAGCAAACAATAAGAATCATATATTGTGCCAGTAACATCAGGTACTGAAAGCAAAACTGAGACACTGCAAAAAGCATAAAAATTAAAAATTAAATCTTAGATGCCATTCAGTTAGTAGTCATCTATCTAATCGGTCATGAAAATCAAGTTCTAATGTTGTGAGAAACCTAAAATATATAAAAGCTCATGTACGTTTGTGAAAGCTCATGTACGTTTGTGAAGGCTCATTTACATTATGTGCTATGCAAAAAAATGAATCTATCCTGTTAGGCTAACAGAACTTTCCCCAGAAAACAATAGCAAAATCTGAATGTTAAAAAGTCCAGTTAGCAACAAATCCCTACTTTACTCATGTGTAATGAACTTAAAGTCATAACAATTATGAGAATCTTCCATCAAAAAATCCCATTTTGCCACAGCTGAACTTAATATATGCAAACCACTTGTTAAAGTTCACTAGAAATATCTCACATCTAGATTTCATCCATAACTTGACTAAACAAATGCATACTTGCAAGTACTGATTTTCAGTTGCCCAAGCTTATTATAAGCATCCTTGATCCTTACATGTAGTTTATGTCAACCACCAAGAACTGTCATGGTCACCAATATATCCAAGGTTAAAAAATGCCATTATCTAGATATGATGCTAGCAAACACAGAAACCGGCTTGAGATAACAGAACCATAGTCACCAATCTTTCTATGTTCAAGCTGTTACTTTACAAAGTAAAAATATTGTTTTATAACTCAGCTAAACTTTATTCTCATACACTGCAAACAAATACTAGACCATTGTAAAAAAAAGAAAAAATAAATAAACACGACATTTAAAAAGAGAACATAATAATACAGCAAACCTTTTATCACATAGAGTGCCAATATCATACAAAATCAAAACATAACTAGAGAAGCTCAAATGCAGATATCTAGTTTTATGTTAATCAAATATACCTGAAGTTTTGTTAATATGTGTGCAATCGTATCATCCCTTGCTAAACCAAGCAAGACTCTGCATGCCAGAGCACGAAGACAGTCAAGGGCAGTAGAAGGTGTTATTATCCGTGGCTGGAGGAGCTGAAGTAGAACTTTGATGCCATTATTGGCTCGGACTGCCTCTCTTGCTTGACGGTAACCTTGTTCCACTTGTGCAGCGAGGCCAGCACAACCCGCCCCAGCACCTAAAGATATTCTACGATCACCGACCAATCCAGAAGTAGTAAATGACGTACCAAGTGCTGCTGCTGTCCCTCGGTCTACCACACTAGATTCGCCATTCCGATCTCTTGGCTCATTCAAGCTGGCACTGTTAAGCTCTGATGTATTCCGATCTGCGTTTCTTTCCCTGGTTTCTGAAGAAGGAGCATTTGATGTTTGGGCATTAGACGTCTGTCCTTGTCCTGGCATAGTTGGCTTATTACTAATTGACGGTGGAGGGCAAACAAGATTGACCAGAACATTCAGTGCTGGCTGAATAATCTGTGGAACAAGATCATTACCAAGTATGAGAATGTTAACGGGAGAAAAAACCTCAAGGATGGTTCCAAGAATATGTATCAAGTAATTAATATATACAACAATTTAGATAGGATATACCTCAGGGTCAACAAAACCAGCACCATTCGCTGCATCCAGAATGACTGCTATACCTAGACGATCATTGCTCAGGGTAGCACTTACAACCAATTTGCGACTGTAAGGAACCAAAGTAACAATGTGCAGAACACCCAATGCATATTGAAGCAAATCATGCAAGTATCGCTCGACTGGTGGAGCCTAATCAAAAAATAGGAGTTAAGCCTCTGAACGTAGAAGTTCGATGAAAACAAATAAAGCAAACTATTAAATATGTGGAGAAAGACACCTGACACAACTCCAACATCGTAATATGCCCATTGCAATTCAAGAACTTATCAACTGCAGGCCAACGAGCTCTCACAAATGCAGGACCAAGCTTCCGATCTTTCTGTATTTGACGAAATACAGCATCTATAGCCTCATTACTGATGTCAAGTGGCTTATAGGCTGCCCTAGAACTTGGAATATTTCGTGCTGCACTTCGAAAATTCTTACTAGGACGAATTGAATCCACAAGCAATAGAAGGTGTGCTCTAAAATATTGGCGCAATGCAACAGTTGTATGGTATGCAATCTGCTTCTCTGATGATGTCAACACCTCCGGAGGGGTTCGATCATTTCGAAGTGATCCTGAAGTAGAGGATCCCACTGTCCCTGAACTAACCCCGGCTCTCACTGATGCTGCTTCACCCAAAAGCTTTAACAGCTTCTGCAGACCATCCTGATTATCAAAAGCATCTAATACAGCTCTGAAGACAAAAGCATTAGCAAAAAATAAAGCTGCATTTTTCCTTGCTTGGTCCTGGGAGCACTCAAGAAGTTGAAGAGCTAATGCAATCAACTGATGGATGACATCCGAGGGAAGGGCACATACACGCTCCATTATTCCCTAAAGGACACCACAAAATTAGAAGCATTAATACATAAGTATGAAAATATTTAGCAGAAGGATGCATGTTGAATATCTAGTATCGGCATTTGCAGCCATGAACTTAAAATAACTTTTTGTATGGAAGTACCTGGAGTGAACCAATTGCGAATAGACAGGAAGATAAACCATAGAATGTCAGTGACTCTCTCGGCAGTGCAAGAAGCTTTTGTATACCACCACGATCTACAAATAATGCAGCAAATTTACGATGGGCAGCCAAGGCACAGATTAATTTCAACACATCAGGCAAAAGTACTGCAATCTGTGATGCCTCTTTAAGATCAGAATTTCGTTGCAGCAAAGCAAGACAGACATCTACCCCTTTCTCATGTAGCACAGGACCAAGAACCTCAATATATTCTCCCAAAATCTCTAGACACTGAATACAGAATTTTTCCCTTAGCTTTGCCAAAGATTCACAATCAAGGATGAAGAACTCCTCAACCTCCTCAGTTGTCTCAGGTTCTGGCTCCTTAGGATTAGCTGACTCACCGCCATCAGCATTATGACTCCTACAATCAGCCATGATATATTAGTCGGGAAAATGTAGTTATAAAAAAACAATTAAAAGCTCAATAAGCAGATATAATCTTAAAACTGAAACCATTCAGTACATAACAGAAATTACAAACCTAGAAACTTCAGTAGCATTAGCTGCATCCACGACCGTCGATGCAGCTCGAGATGCAGACAGAACTGCAGCTTCTTCATCATTTGTCCTTTTAAATTCCTAATCAAATAAAGCACTAGTATCTTAGTCATACTGCGAAAATGTTTAACAAAGAGACATGAGCTGGCAGATAAAATTTAGAATTGAAAGAAGAAGGTTTAATGTGATATGCATACCTCCAATGCTGCAGTTTTAACAAGTTCAGCAGCAGCATCACGAGCAGCTTTAATGGCCTCCGCAGAAGCATTAGCTGCTCTGGCTTCAGCTTCAGCAGCTCTAACAGCCTTCTTCACCAGATCAGAGATATCCTTTGAACCAACCTTACAGTCTTGGAAGCAGTCATCACAATCATCTCTTTCCAGGATCAGAGCATCAGCACCTATCCTTACAGAAGACTTCTTGACGTCAGCCACACGTTTTGATTCTAGACTTCTTAATGAACTCCTGTCCTTGATACTCCGTCCTTGTCCTCCAAATCTACTCCCAGATCCTGGAGAGGTTAAAATGTGTTCATTCTCCACAATACCTTCATTGATCCTTCCTTTCCCTCTAGATCTTACCAATCCACGATTTGCCCTACGCCTCGACAGGTCGTCTCGGCCACTTTCTTCAATTTCATCTTCCCGTAAGGATTTTCCATGGCTACTTCTGTCACTTACCTTCGTCTTCCCATCACGTAAATCTCTAACGTGCCCATCTGTATCTGTCTCATGAGTTTCATTATCCTCGTCGAAACCATCAGGAGGTTCAGCCCACCGGTCATCAGTGCATGTCTGCCTAATAAAGCTCCTATTCCGATCTCTTTCAGTAACCTGATCATCTGAAGTCCCCTCCTCCGTTATTCTAGGAGGTTCCAGCTGAGATGTTTCTGAAGCATGCCTGAACCTTCCCCGATTATCTTCTCTAGCTCTAATGGATGTAGCAGCTGATGAACTTTTGCTGTCTAACAGATAGTTGGATTCTTTTTGACTTGTACTTGCCTCTCCTAAAACACGAATGCGAAGATATCGCATAAGCTTGGCAGACAATCCAGATGTAAGAACGTCTTCCACTACTTGACCTCCGCTGCAGTCATTATTCCATGAGGTCAAGATAATATATAGGTAGAATATAAATACACAATCTATTCATAAGCAGAAAACCTATGTGTAAAGACAGAGCAGAAGAAAAATGTTTCCAGAAAAACATACCCAGCCAAACATACAGCCAGAAGTCCAGTAGAATAGGTTTTCATCATTTCAGAATCTGATGATTGTCTTGCACCAGACCCGTTCTTCCCTTTATGATCTTCAGCGGAAGATCTTGTTGTCCCATCCATCACCCAACTCTTTATGTTCTCCAAAACAGTTTCTTCAAAAACGTGTGGATACTATATTCCATTGACAGTCATTATAAAACTATGATAAAGTAACAGAAACAAAGAAGTTATAATTTAAAGCTTCATCCAAAATCATACCATCCAAGTCAGCGAACAACTGAAGAGAAGTCTTAAAGCAGCGGCTTGAACAGCTACTGAATAACGAGTTTCAGACAGAAACTTTGCAGATATCAATTCAAAGAACTCGTCGTTATCCTGTCGAAAGATACTAGGTCATGTTTTGAATTGAAAAAATTACCTACCAAAAAATAATACTTGAAGGAAGACTATAGCACAACAGTTATTTAAATAGCATACAAGTTAATTTTCGAATAATATAGTACTTGCTGCAAAACAACAGAGCAAAAAAGAGAAAAATATAAACTACCCGGAGTAAGTTCCCCAAACGTCCTATGTTATGGGAAGCTCGACCATTATTTATGGATGTATGACCAGTCTCTTCCATGTACCTGCATTACGTATAAAAGTGAATATATCAGCAACCAATAGTGTTTCAAACCTAAACCTCAGGTATAATAAATAATTAATAAAGTTGAGTAAAGTTAGCTAACATATTAATGTATCAAATAGATGGCAGAAAATTTAATCGTGAACTTGTCCGTTCATAGCTGCTTTTGCATCTTACTGGTTGCACTCTCAATTCTCAAAAAACTGACTGAAGCCTTGTTCTCCTTTACGTATGTCATGAAGTGCTAGGTGTATTTGAAAATCAAAAATGTTGCACGCCAATATTCCATCAGTGACCAGAACGTAAAAATGAATTTCTAGCCACCTACATAATGTTATGAACCCAAGCCAAAGTCCATATGGTGCATACGATACCACTAGAGTAGTTTAAATTTTCAAATAATGTGCCTGTATCCACCTTAGACATCTTCAATTTTATGATGAACAATTATAATTAATTCCAGTTCAACAACACACTTGCTAGGAATGTGCTAGACTAAGAAGATGCCCACTTGTAGTATCCTGAAATCGAGATACATATACAGATATACCAAACATAGACGGATAAATATATAAAAACATGTGTACATACGTATATATTTGTGTGTATGCATATCACCTTGTGCTTGAACTACTTAATGGATGCCTCTCATTAAACAAGATCAATGGACCATATGAAGTTGTCATAAAATACATCAGCAACCACACTAAACCTCTTAGACATTTAAATAATGTGCCAATGGGTTCTTGAAGGACTCTAATGAATTTTCAGCCTAATAAATAAAAACACCCAGGAAGAAACCAACACGGCAGCACCCACTTGAATTCTCTTCAAACCAAAAAATCTCAATCACACACAGAAACACCAACCTCACAATTACAACATTATGACTCGCTTTGTATTAAAAGGAATAAAAAAATACGAGTAACATGTTACTAAATACTTGAAATTTAAATCTCTCACTCAAGCTCAACAGTAATATAAGACTCAAAAGCTCATCAAACAGTCATTTCTGAGTGAGATACATGCCAAGGTTATACAAACTCTTTCCAATATTAGATAAATGTATCTATGACTGCAGCTGTGTTCAATAGTTTTCCAAGAAGCAATCCTGATAAATGTGAAAGTGGAAAATCGTCATGTAAACGAAACACCGAATTCGCTTCAAATTTGAAACATCAGCATTACAATATTTACGTATTACATCGTGAAGCTTCATATCATCATATGACACAAAAACAACAAAATGCACAATTAATGCCTTTCAATAGACTTTTAGACAGAATCATTCGGAGCCTCTAAAGTAAAATTAGAATTCAGTCAATCAGCAAACGATCTTTGAGCTAAGCGTTTTCTTGTAGCTATAAACACATACAAGAACATAAATAACAATACGTGTGTGTAGATATATATTGAGCGAGAGATATAGAGATAGCAGTAAGACCTGGCTTCTTGGGTTTCAAGAATGGAGGCTAGGGCATGAAGACAAAGGGGCTTAGGGTTATCAGGAGACGCGGTGATCTTGTCTATCAGTCCCTGTGCTTTGGCTATCAGAATTTCGTCTTCGTTATTCGTTTCTTCTTCTTCATCATCCTCCTCCTCTTCTTCCTCTTCATATTCTTCGTCTTCTTCATCCTCTTCGACCGGAGGAGTCGGTCCAGGTGGTGGTGGTGGTGGCGGTGGCGCCGCAGCTCCTTCCGATAGATGATCGTCTGTAGCCGCCTCCATAATCAACAAGAACCTATTGATTAGAATAGGATTGAATCGAACCTGCAGATATATATATACACACAAAAATTGTGCAAATGTATCGACTTGAAAATGGAAATTGGTGGTGCGACTGTGTGTTTTAGAGAAGAGTAGTTTGTGTGTGTTTTTATGAGAGGCGTGCAAATGCAAATGTGTGTTCCCCTACAAAATTTGGGGAATTTGTACGACACGCCTCGAGAAGGATCGTAACCCGGATCCATTTAACCGACCCGAATTATTCCGACCTAATATGCAGTCGCTTGTGTTTGTTGATGGGAAAATTTATATGATCACGACGGAACTACTAAAAAGAGAAATTAAGGTGACAAGTATAAAAATTAATTTGGATTTTTAATATTTTTAGTCTTAATTTCATCCATGAATCTGATTTGATTAATTATGTATATATGTGCAATGCGGTAGGAGCTGTAAATTTTAGCGATTTTGAAGTTTCATTTGTTTTATTAGAGAAAATTTAACCATGATATAAGTTACATTTGGTCTTTATATATTAATACAATTTGATTAAATAAGAGTTATGGTTCCAATTATAGCTTATCGATAAAAAAAAATTGTATAACAGTTTAAAATCCAATATATTTAAAATTCAACATATCTAGACGACTCCACAAATATGTTCAATTTACACCAAGAGCAAAGAATCAAGAGATAGAGAGCGATAGTTCTGGAGCAATTGAATGGAGGTGAATGAGTGAACTTTTAATAACTCATGGTAAATATCAATTTGAATCTCACCTTGGGAGATTGGGAGAAGATATAGAGGTATGAGAGGGAGAAGGCATGAGTGAAATGTGTCAAAAATATCTTATAAACATAAAGAAAAAAAAATATAATAATGTGCATTGGTAACTTGTACTATATGTTAATTCTAATTGTAGATTAAGAGATTTTAAGACTGAATGCATAAAATAGTAATACTTAATGCATTATGAGTTGTTTTTAAGACTTTTGTATATTAATGTATAGTACTTTGTGCATTAAAAATTGTTTTTAAGACTTTTGATAAATCTGGTTTATAAGGTAGTCTAGATATAGATATGGGAATTGATCCGATGTATATTAGTCCATCTCATCCTAATGTGTATCCAATGGTGGAGGTTCTTTTTTTCTTTTCTCACCTTTAACTCTTATTATCACCGGAACCCAACTCTTTATATAAATAACTAAAGTTGAAGATGGTCTTATTTTTTCCCTATTATTTAACCGAAATCCATTTTTTAGTCAATCCTGATGCATATACGTCATAATTGGGTTTTGAAAGAAAAAATATGCATATGCATCAGGTTTCTATGTAGATAACCCACCTAGATTATGGTGGAATTCTTACATAGAAACCTTACGCATATGCGTAATAATTTTTTTTCTTTTTTTGCTGAAACTGATCTTATAATATTTAATGATAAAAATATTAAGTTGTCAATTAATAATTTTTTGACCACTAACCTTGTGATGGATGCATCATTGTTTCTTTAGTTTTTTAATCAATATTATTCGAGATAATTTGATACAGTCCGTAAATATTATAAGATTAAGGGGTTGTTTGGTAATTGTTTAATGATTTGGTGAAAAATGATTAAGTGGTCATAATGATTAGGGGTTGTTTGACAGTTGCTGAATGGTTTTGTACAGAATGATTAAGAGGCTTTCATGATATAGTGCAAAATGAAATATAATTGTTTGATAATTGTTTACAATGAAATCAGGACGCTTAATGGTTAAGGGAGAATTAAGATACAAAATCATTCAGATGGTTTTAGAACCATTAAGAAGCAGCTTTTTTTTTGCCAAACAAGATTCACCTCTTAATGATTCAGATGTTGCATCTTAATGAAACTATTAAGAGGTAAACAAACAACCTCTAAGAGGCTCTCATTATATAGTGCAAAATGAAATATAATTGTTTGGTAATTTTGTACAATGAAATTAGGGCTCTTATAATGGTTAAGGGAGATCTAAGATACAAAATCATTCAGAGGGTTTTAAAACCATTAAGAGACGGACTTTTTTTTATCAAACAACATTCACCTCTTAACGGTCCAGATATTGCCTCTTAATGGAATTATTAAGAGATAAACAAAAAGATTGTTGATCAAAATAAATTTAATTTAGAATTTTGTTATATTATTTTTATATATATTTTATCCTTAAATAAATAATAAGAGTAATTTACGGTTGGCATTTTTCTTGACTTTCCTCCCTATCTTACATTAATTATGTTTTTGTCATAATCAATTAACAAGTTTATATTGTTAAATTAATTCATATCACTTTCATCAACATTTTTCAATTATGAATTCATAAATTTTAAAAATATTACTTAAATGATTTTATTAATTAATTAAAATAATTAAAGAAAAAAATATATCGAATTAATTAAAAGTGTTCCATTAAATGATAGTTTGGACCATGGCATGGACCAGTCCACTTGTATGGAGCAGTCTGCAACATCGTCACCTCCCAATGATGTCTTACTTTGATGAAGCGCTCCTTCATTCCGAGTAGAGGTTCATGAACTCTGCCATTGCAGATGCTCTGAACACCATCGCGCCATTCCCTGCCCATAATGAAAAATTCATTAGGAGACCTCTATAGTGCAGACGAAGTAACACGAGTATCCTCAGTAGTCAGTCCATTTCCATCAGGCGGACCAATGTGATAGGCGAAGAACTAACTTCTCTGGTGTCCGTCAAAGGATTCGGAACAGACCAATTACCGGATCCACCTATCATCGCCAACAGTGCATGGATGTAATGTACTTCCCATTGCTTCTATAGCTTCGACAACAAATAATCAATTCAAAAGAGGTTATGATGATTGAGTGTGATATGAGTAAAAAATCGAGTCAAGATTTGAGATTTTTCATAGCTTGGCATAGCAGAATCAACAGATGAGAAGTGCAAGATACTGTGATTCGAGTAAAAATGGGGCTAATATTTGAGAATTTCCATATTTTGGCGGAATATAATCAGAGAATGACAAGTGCAAGATACAGCGGTGAGCAATATATTTTGTATCTGATTTGATCTTGAAATTGAGTTCTCTTTGGTTCTCCACATGCAACCTCTATTGTAAAAAGTGATGGCCAAAAACCGGTCCCGGACCGGGCCTAATAGGTCTCAAGCTTTCTCATAACCAGCCATAACCGGTCCTGACGTAACCGGTCCCGGTCCCGGTCCAGGTCGAAAATGGTAGGACCGGTCAAGATGCTTCATAACCGGTTATGGGCCGCCGGTCCCGGTATTAAAAAATAATATTTTTATTTTTATTTTTTGATGATAATACATTATAAAATTTACAATTGGGTCACTCAAATACACTTTAAAAATGCGTTTTAATATAATTAAAATTACATTGTCTTATAAAAGTACATTATAAAATTATTTAAAAGTACATTTATTTATAAAATTATTTGAATTTTTGGGCCGGGCCGGGCCGGGCCATAGCCGGTCCCGGTCCCACGAAACTACCAAAAACCCCAACCGGTTCTGGTTTTCGGTCCCATAACCGGTCCTTACCGATCCGGTCCCAGGCCGGGATGATTTGGCCATCACTAATTGTAATTATTAAGGTCTATGGTAAAACAAATATGGTTCTCATTTTGTCTTCCGACATACACACACTTTCAAACCTGATCTACATCTTATTCCGATGGCTGTCTAATTCTCTTGTTCTGGTGTTTATTATCCTACAGTCTTTTAGATCAATCTGAAGGACAACTTTCATAAATATGTGTGCCTTCTTTAATAAAAGTTAAATTGTTAAAATATTTTGAATAGCATATTGTTTTTACAAGTGATGTCGCTTGAAATTAATCTTAAATACTACTCGAATTAAAAAAATAATTAGAAATATATCAAAAACCAAGACTCGAGTTGAGAACCACTGGTTCGAGACACGTGATCGTGTGAGACCAATTTTCAATCGGAAACTGAAAGTTGGAACGAAATAACCTCGAAAAATATACCGAAACCAAAATTACAAATTGTAAATTTAAAACTCGATCTATTTATCAGAAAATATAATGATATTTTCCAAAATAATTAGATAACATCATTGTAATGTTGGGATCACAATTCGGTAAATAAAAAGAACTTGATCATAGTGATCTATACTATATTATAAAGTATTTGATAAAAACTCTTAAAAATAATTTTATATGCATAAAGTACTGTTTATTAATTCATATTACTTAAAATTTAAGATTACAAGTAGAATGTGTATGAATACATCTTATTAAAGTTTCATGTTTGAATTCGTATAACTAACTACGGATAAACATAATCAAATACATGATAAAAATCATTTTAAATATAAAAAATCTAAAATATAATTAAGATAATTATTGAATTATAACAAAATACGTAATTATTATCTTAAAGAAATTATTTTATTAAACCAAATAAATTAGTTCATTTTTAAAATTCAATTAAATCATAATAAAAAATTGAATTAAGAAAATTACATAAAAAAAAGAATTTTTAAATAGTTATTTTGATACTAATATCGCTTATTTTTATCAAAATTTTATAATATCTTCAAATTTATATTTCATTCAAAAATAGAAACATTTTCTTTTTCTCAAAACAACATAAAATTGCATTATAACATTGATAGACCTAAAATATAAAGCGAAACATTAACATCAAAATGTATCTCGCTGCATTGCACGAGTACCCTTCTAGTTTATTTGTAAATATATATAATGATCTTATTTTTAAATATAAGTAAACATATTTACATATAATATCCTATAATTATCATAATTACATCTTTAACACATACTATACATTATTCTACGAGAATAATTATTTAACAATCAATCATGACGTAATTCAGGTTTTCTGGTAAATAAAAGCTTACATATTCTTTATATGCGACCCCATAGGTTACTTATTGGCAGTGTTTCTGTGTGACACGTACCGTGAGCATATAACAACTTACGTCAAGCATGCACAAAGAATTTCTAACATAACGTTGACCACGAGAATTTGTATGACGGAAATACGCAGTCGATAAAAGACTATAAAAATACGGAACAAAAAGATTATTGAAGGCAGTCAATCACCAGAACCATGAATGGAGAAGGATTTGAAACAAATAATAAGTTACAAGCAGATGAACTACATCATACACACACATGTCCATACTACTAACCTTAACAATCTACTTCAGTCGCCATATAACGTTAAAACCCGTTTCACGTTTTTTTCTCTTCTTTCTTTTCTATGTGAAGCAGACGTTAAAGACGTCCACAAACAGCCGCTCCTGAAAAACACACTCCACAACAGCCGCAGAGCGTGAAGTCTGTAACGTAGAAAAACAAACCAAATTGTTATCATAACTAGATAATACTTTCTAACCAAAGCAAACCAAACGAACCCCAGTATTCCACCCGGAGAGTGGGGTCAAGGTGGGTGGGATGTATGCAGATATGTTATCTACCCCAAAGGGTGGGGTAGAGCGATTGTTTCCATGAAGACAAGTGTTGGAGAATAAGAAAGATTGCCTACAAAGTTTGAAGAATTTGAAAAAAAGGAAAAGAAATCGAAAGTGAACTTAGATAATACGTCCTCCATCCCAAAAAGTCGAAATAGAATGCACCATCCCTTTGTAAGGTAGGTAGAGTTATATAAACCAAACTAAATCAAACGAACCCAGTATACACCAGAGAGATAAAGTCTAGGCAATGTTCTAAAAGGCGCATGCCATGGCAAAAGGCTCGTCTTCTACTCCATGCTACCCTTATGGCATGCCATGGTCCAACACACGTTTTTTCTAAGGCACTACTTGATCTTTTTCTTACCTTTTAGCTTTTTTAACCTTTAGGTTTTTCCTTTATGTTTGCAGTATATAACCTACTTGTATACAGTCTTATATCATAGTGATAGTAAAAAACATGTGTGTATATAATTATATATATGATACACAGATTTGCCACCGTTGTGGCCTCACCGGTGCTCCTAAGGTTGAGGCTCGACTTCACCGCCAGACCACGGGTGACGCCTTTTTAGAACTTGGGTCTAGGGGTAGGATGCAAGCAGATCTTGCCTCTACCCAAAGGGTAGAGAGACTGTTCCCATGAGTACGTGGAGCTATATGATCAAAGAAAAAGCTTCAATGCAGATATAATCTGTTTATGATTAGGAGGAGTTGCATACCTAAACTTCATGTAAAATGAGCATATTGACTACTTGTCTGAATGTCCTCGTTTAGCCTTGCGACGTGAATGGCTTGGCTTGCTATTTCTATTGGGCTTCTTAGCCTTTCCACTGCATTCCATAAGTAAATGGGGAGAAGTAGTTAGATTTTCAGCTTAAACTATATGAGGTGTAAAACAGCAACATGGGTAGCATGAGATGATCTTTATTCTGTAATTAGCCGATGAAACAAGTAGATTCACAAACCAAACCAGTAAAAACATGTAGATAGATGAACTTACAAAAAGATCACTGATAAGGTTCTGAACAAAATGATGAAAGGTAGTACGAACACTGCAGAGGCCTGGAAAATAAACATACTAATCAATGCTTGCTGTAGAAACAGAAGAATGTGATGTATTTCTCTTTTATTTCTTCATTTTCTTTGTAGGATAAATTCGAGTAAGGGGCTGTTTGGTTGGTTTTCCATTAAATCTTGTATGAATAAAGCTCTTTGTGTGGACTAATTTGTCTGTACAGATGGAGAAGGTTTTTGCTTGGATGGTTTTTTCATAGATGGAAGAAGCATGTTTTTTTATTAGAAGGGGCAGGTTTGGAACAAATTTGGCTTTCCGCATAAAGCTTCTCCCTAGAAGCTTACTGAATAAGCCACTTTATATATCATAAAGTCACTACCAAACAGTCACGTATAGCTGACCGAATAAGCTCCGAGTCTCATTAAGCTGCTAACAAACAGGCCCTTAAAGGCATAGGTGGGGGGGGGGGGGGGGGGAGAGACATACAGCAAACCATATAAGCTCCTTGGTGGCAAGAGATCTTGTAAGTTCATGCTTTTTCAGTGATTCTTCAACGGTGCCTTGAACCTACATGCATATATAATAGTTAGTTTATTGGTTTAGACCAAAACGACCTAATATGAGTAATACACATCTCTCTTTAAAGGGACTAATCAAATGTGCCCAGTAAATCCCACTTGGAGGTGGGGTCGGAGGGTGGGATATACGCAGACTTGTCTTCTACCCCAAAAGAGTAGAGCTGTTTCCGTAAACCACAGCTCATGACAAGTGTGTGAGAAAAGGAAGCACGAGAAACAAAACAAAAAGCTTGCCTAAAAAAATGATGAAAAAGCAGAACGTCAACAAAAATTGTACAAACCTGATTATGGTATTTCGTTGCAGATTCAAGAAACTTCCCATAAGCTTGGACTGCCTCCTTGGTGTAGGGTTCCATACACTCTCGTCCTTTATCAAGGTGCGGCTTTGTTGCAACAGCAATCTGATCAATGTATGGCTTGCAGAACTTCTTTGCAACCTGCCCCCGCCCCATATTTTCATATTAGGGCCCATCGTTGTTGAGAAAGCACCAAGAGGGTTAAGAAAGACGTACCTGAAAATGAGGGTCTACTGCTTCCTTTATTTTAATCACATGTGGGGCTAGAACCTCCTTTGATTTAACATAAACCTCTGTGGTCTTTTCGGTCAGTAATTTCACACGTGGTTCAACATTAGTTTTCACTATTGCCCATTGTTCTTTTGCAGCAGGGACCCACTTCTGCATTATTTAGGAGTATAACGCAGAGTACATAAGTACTAAGTTCCAGTGATTGTAGAAACCCAACTAAATAGTGAACAAGCATCAAGTCTATATAAAAGAGAACACAAACTTTAACATTCAAACACTTCCAAGAAATTATGTTGAGCAAAGAATCCTAGGCAGTTGGGGGGAGGGGATTTAAGGGGGTAGAGGGTTGAGAGTCATTAGATAGGTTTACGCAACCGTAGGATAGATATAGAGAGTTCTTTGGAGTGTTATATGTGCTTTTTCGCCTTATTACAATATTTGCTATTTCTGTCCTCAAGAAAAAAAAATGCAAAAATGTGGCTTTTATGTATGCTTTCTAAATCTTTACTGCGTATAAGATTCGTGATTGATTAAAGGCTTGAAAATTATGGTGCGAGTGTAAGGGGTTCCATTTGTATTGAATTTTTGAAGTATTTGAGGAACTTCCCTTCTCATGTCTTCTTTATAATCAGTTTAACAATTAACATACAAGCACTCAAAAGCCATACATTTCTTTAAAGACAAAATGTTGATTGCTGAAAGCAGTGGCAAAAGTGTAGGTATAGTCCAGACTTAGGCATTGAACTACATAACCAGCTCATGGACATAACCAATCACCCCTTGACAGATTGTGACATCATTTGATCATGAACCAATTGAGGTAACTTCAAAATTTATCATAGGGCTGGCTCAAAATTACTTGGTTGCTCAAATAACCTATGTTTGATTAAATTACTCAGCTATATTATATAGGAGTGAGATGAGGGAGAACCTCATAAAAAGGGAGAACGAAAGAACCACATCGGATGAAAAAATATATCAATATAGAATATAAAGATTGTTTTTTTGGAGTAATTTGCTTATCTCCACTGTTGATTATATTTCGTCTTTTTTCGATTAAAAATGGAGGGGAAGGTTTTTAGTTAAAGCTGTAACCACCCCTTTAATCACATCCCTTGGATCAATTAATCTAACAATTTGGATAAGTTCTTAGGTTCTCCTTTTCTTTAAGGTTCTCCCAAAGACCTCCTTATATATATATATATATATAGAGAGAGAGAGAGAGAGAGTCAGGTTCATACGTTAACAGTAACCAAATAAGAGAATAAGAAAACGATCGAATCACATGTGATTTTAAACTAAAATCACGTGCAAAATCACATATGATTCATGCTACTTTGGCCGCGACCTGAAGTCGTCGACCACGTTGCCCGCACACCTTTAAGTTGGCCGTTAATGTAAAATTACATGTGATTTTGTATGTGATTTGACTGATTTCATGTTCTTTTATTTAGTTACAGTTCTCGTTAACATCCATCTCTTCTCTCTCTTTGTATATATAAGGGGCAAATCATGTAGAAACCGTGAAAACTAGTTTGTATGTGTTGTTTCATAGATTAAACTTCAAAAAATGTTTTGCATGTGAAGAAAACAAAAAAATACATTTATAGATGAAACACACACTCATACTCACACATAAGAACAAAACATGTGAAACAATATTAATCAGAGCTTAAAATCAAACTCATTGGATGGTTTTGGTTGATTTTCACAGGTTTGGTTTTCACATGTGTCGTTTCATCTATGAAACAATACATGAAACTAGTTTTCACGGTTTCTATATCATTTGCGGTTTATATATATATATATATATATATATATATATATATATATATATAAGGGGTAAAAACTCACTAATATATTTGGTTCCTCATAGGAGTGTACTAGGTCTCATTCAATTTATTACAAGAAATATCCATGCATTTGCCAATGTTCCCTAGCATTCATCACCTTGCTTAAAATAAAAGTTGCAGTTTGAGTCCATTTTTTACAGTAAGCGAGCACATTCTATACACCAACTACCACCATCGCTTATCTTAATCCAAAAGGAGGTAAATCTCATATAAGTCATGATTAGTTAAGTAGTAGATATACATAAAGCCAATCTAGGGTTCTTGTAGCACTTTGAAGAGCATAGTCAAACACAGATTGTCGAGAAACATAAGAATTGACTAACAGTACACACATCATGCATCTCACCGTAGTGTGTAAAAACCGTTTACTAAACACTTACTTGGTAAAGTGCTTACTGGAGAAATTTCCTCACCGGATGAACATGAGAAGGGCCAAGAATCTTATCGGATAAAAACGAGGAGAAGGATGGAGAGTCTTACCCGGTAAGTGAGGATGACGACTCTTACCCAGGTAAGCGCTTACCCAGTAAATTGTTGCATTCAATATGTTTTGATATACTAAAATCTTACGCATCAAAATAAATCATAGTGTTGACTCCTATCGGTAAGCGCTTACCGGGTAAGCAATTGGGTAAACGCCTAAACGGCCCCTAAATACCAAGAAAAGTCAAAGGATAACCAACAAAAATTAAGAACTTCTCTTACAGTTTTGATTGTCTCCATATGAGGTTCAGCCCACTTTTCGGCTTGTGCCTTCTTCTCCAAAGCCTGCCATAATGAAAAAAAATGTTTTTTTTCCTTAAAACGAAATACCCATCTTTTAATAAACGAGTAATAACATGATTCAAAGTAAAATATATACATATATAATGAGACACAAAAGAAGATGAGATACAAAAATTACCTTCTGTGCAAAAGCGTCAAGTGCAGGTTTCCCATGAACTTTCCAACGAGTTTCCACATAAGACTGAAAATTAGTGATGTAGTCAAACCTCACAGATATATTATTTTACGTACATGTAGTATATTCAGAAGAGAGTTACCTGACAACAAGACACATGAGCTGCAAGCCATGGTGGTAGCCATGCAGAATGAACCTGAATACAAACGCGGGCCACATAATAAGATTTTAAAAGAGATCTAAAATGCCCCTTATGAAGAAAAATATATAGAAAACTTGTGGACCAAAATCAAATATATAAGATATCAGGTAATGATTAGTACTAATGAGCAAAAAGGTCAATTTCGATCAAGAACTTTACACACAAAAAATGTTGCTATCTTTTGGGACAATCCAAAAAGGAAGTGCTGCATTCTTTTTGGGACGAAGTAATATTTTTTCTTTGGAAGACAATCTTCATCTATGTTTCTTTGTAGTTTGTACCATTATGCTGTTATTCAGATAGAAACATAAATGTGTAATCTATCATTTCTCTTTCACCCACCCTAAAAATTAGAAAAGTAAATTAATGATAACCTAAACAAAAAAGCCACATATGCACACATAAAACAGAACTACTAGAATATGATTGGTCCATATCAAAGATCTACGTAGACATGGCAGCTTGATATTTTTCTTGTAACTACATAGAACAAGGAAGACCACAGTGTTCCCTGTAGCTAGGACAGACTGATGCATGGTGCCAACTATTAACATAAATAAAGACTTATCAGCCAAAGGACTTTTTGAAGTATATAACATCTTATATACAGCAAATACCCAGGAACACTCCTCATATTTGGTGAGGTTTGAACCCTTGACCTCCTTAGAGGCTGGGCTCTACCGGCAACTCGAGTACTGTACTCAGGGGATGTGGTGGAATATCCCATATGTCCTGAGTTCAATTCCAGACGTCAACAACAATTGTGGCCACTGAGTTTATCAAGGCTGATGTCTTGCGGTCGCAATTTGCCGGGATTAGTCTGCACATAGCCTGGGACACCCTTCCCAAAAAAGAGTCAGGTATTGTAACAACCCGTCCCACATGGACAAAAAATTGATGTGAGCTCCTTATAAACTCAAAATTGTGGGCTACCAATAACTTTCATCATGGTTTTAAGTTGAATTTGTAGGTTATTGGGCCAGTCTTCTGCTTTGGCTTGGGGCGTTAAGGCTACCGTTGGGCCAATGACCCTTTGGTAGCTATATACTAATTATTTTTTCCTTAAGTTTAATTGTTGGTGCATTCATGTGGAGACTGGCAACTCATAATGTACTACGTTTCTGTTAGATCTACTTTGTCCCCTTAAACTACAAAATCACTATTCTACATAACTTTGAACACTATATGTAATATATCAACTTATAGATCAAAAAATCACATAGTCTCCAGTCATGATCCCATTTATGATCTACCATTCGCCAAGAAATATAAATCTTTCAGGTTTTACCTCTGTGAGTTCTTTAATTCTCAGTGAAGCTTCATCCTTAGTCTTCATAAGTTCCTCCTGAAAATGATTATAAATGTAATATATCACATGTTTTATGTCTAAAGGAGTGCACCAAGCATAATGTTGTAAACATACCTCAGCAACTTTAAGAGCACGCTCGGTTTTAAGAAGTTTTGACTTCTGTTCTTCAATAGTTTGTTGAAGCTGAAGTAAACAAATAGGAAAACAAAACAAAAGAAGGCATAAGACTGGAGCTTACCACATCTATCCAAATAGGTTGTGTTTTCATCACAAACAAAAGATAACTCCATTATTAAGGCTTGATGAAATGTAAGAACAAGCTGTGCGCCACGTATAGAATAAATGTAATATAGCTACTCAGCTAAGAGGCTACTAGCTATTAACCACTGGAAATAGCTGTATGTCTAGCAGTGGACTCGTCTGACCATGGGCAAAAATCTACCATAACATAACTATCCAAGACACATACAAATACAAATGTTTCTATTCCTTTGTTTCTACATAATTTTCACAATTTGTTGATTCATGCTTCCTAAAAAGCAATGATAATGGCACTTATACTGTTGATTTTTCAATATTCTAAATTCCTAGTCATTCTTTCCTTGCTTAAAGCCTAAATCTATACCAACATTGTTTCCTCGCTCCTAACAGAAAAGTTCATCCACCCTAGCATCATCCTTGTGCCATGCACATTAGTTAGGGTGCATTTGGTACATTGCACAGGACAGAACAAAACAGGGATCACCGTTCCACGTTTGATAGGACTTTTATGTGGAACAAAGTGGAACAGGCGTGTTCCAACCCCACCCCATGGAACAAGGTGGAACAAACCTATATTTTACCAACATAATATCAAAATAAAACTAAATTCTCTTCTAAAACATCAAATACGCTCTTTAAATTGTATTTTGTTGTTTTTTATTCTCTTCTTAACATTTTTATTCATTCTTTAAATTTTATTTATTGTATTTTATGCTCTTTAAACTTTCACTTTGCTGTCCTCAAATATTATTTTTATACGATTTATATGTTTTGATTAATTTATGTAATTTATTAAATATTAATAATAAAAAATAATATAGAAAATGTATAAAATGAAAATATTAATCTTTTTATATTGGTGTTATTTAATCGTCTTGACGAAAACTTTCTAATGATCTATTTAGTTATAAAACATATTTATTTTATTATAATGTAATAAATTACATAAATGAATCAATATATATATAAAATATATAAACAACTCATTAGGGGTAAATTTGGTCACTTTATCTGTTCTATCATGTCTAGTTTTGTCTTACCAAACGCTGAACAATTGTTCTGTCCTGTCATGTCATATCGTCTCTAGATACCAAACGCACCCTTGGTGACACAAGTAACACTATAATGCATGCATCTTTATGACTAAAGCCATATGAAGTCACATATCCAATAATTCAAAAAGCAAACTAGTTATATCAACCATCAAGCACATATAATATCCAACTCAAAAACCATAAGAATGTCGAATCACATTGAATCAATAGACTTGTATCATGAAATGTGACAGTAGTAAAAGCTTTCCTCCTGTTAGTTAATTGCATATTTAAAGGGGGCAGTGCTTGCTGACGTTGAATTGAATGCTTTACACTACTTTTCAGGATCAAATTCCAACAAAATTGATGTCCTTCCTTAGGTAATGGTGCTTTTGGGTCCTAAAGACGCAATATTAATCAAGTATTACAACCTTCTGACTTATAATAAGCTGGACCATACACGGTTATCTTAGATTTTAGAAATAAACATGCGTCCAGACACAACCATGGCATATTGTTGTGCTAGCTTTAAATCATCTAAAGTAGGATTTCTTGAGCAAGTCAGGAAAGGATTATCAAACACGAATGGAGCAAGTAATAACGCACAGAAACAGCAATAATTTTCTTAACAAGAGAATGAGCTAGATAAATAAGAGAGTCCAGATGCAGAAAAGGTCGCATCATTACAAGATTAGCTCTTTGCTTTCTTCCAAGCTCAAGAAAAGATCCAAGTAAGGTGAATCTAAATAAAGCCCACCATCTAAAGATAATGGATTATGTAAACACGGAAATCAAATAGAGAAGGATACTCTCCCTGACAAAACGGGTGTCCAATAATTGAATCACCGAGAACCATCTACTCAGAAACAGGTTAGGGCGGTGGTTTCCATAATGATCAAGTAGGATTGACTATTGAGATATGGTGCATATATAAACAAGTGGAACCAAGATTATACTTGGGATTCCCAAATGTTCATGACTATAATATAACACATAAGAAATACAATAACATATATCTTCCATAAAGACCTTACATTCTGAAGCTTTGGATTCATGTCGAGCATCTGCTTCTCCAATTCTTTTGATCGAGTTTCCAACGCCTCCCTTAATCTAGTCTTGAGGTCCAATTCCAACTGAAGTTTCTCCACCTGCAATAAGAAATAAATACCCATAATTTAAATTACCACAGGATGCAGATCTTAACATACTTCGGTAATAAATAGATAAAAAGATTTCATTGCAATCAAACCTGCTTCTCCAACTCCTGTGATCGTGTATTAGCCTTTTGGATCTGCTCCTTAGCATCGGAAGACCCTTTAACCTATCAAACACAACATTGGGAGATCATCGTACCAAAAAGATGCATTTATGCATATAATTAAAATATAATTGAAGTGGGATCCACCATATAAACATATACTCATACCTTAAGAGAAGTTATCTCACTTTGCAATGAAGTAATGCTATCCAACTTCTCTTTAATCATGTTCTCTTTCTCTGCAATCGCCATCTCTTTCCCAGTAATTATCTCATCTTTGCTTTTTAATTCTTCAGTCTTCTTTTGAACAAGTGATTCTTCAAACAGAACATCAAATTCAAAGTAAATCAACCCTCTGTAACCATCTTTTTCTGCTTCGATTCAAAATCACTTTGCCAAAAAACAAATTCTAGGAACACTAATACTACTAGTGATGTAATACCAATAAGAAGTAAATTGAAATGAATAAGAGGGAGAAAGGAACAGGGCAAACCAAGTGATTGGATCTTGGAGGTGAGCTTATCCAACTCGACCTGAAACGCCTCGGAATTATCGGATCCGACTGCAACTCCATCAACGGCATCATCCGATCTTATCTGAGTCGAAATTAGGGCAAAAATGACTGAAACTAATAGGATGTGAAGCTTTGAAACCGCCATGGAAACGACCTGTAGAATCAATGCCGCCCCTCAACAGATTTGGGTTATTGGTTGTAGAATCCGTCGGACAATAAATGGGTAGTTGGAATTTACGTGGAGAGAAGGAATCCTAATGGAAGATAGCGATGTTTTGTTGACTGAATCTGGCTACGATGGTGTAATGTTGAAAACGTGGCCTGGTGCTGGGGTGTGGTGGTGGTAGTAATTAAACATTTCTTGTTGGATCGTTGGGATCTGAATTTAGGTTTTGTTGATTTTATCTTGGCAAATGGCATATGACTGAAGCTTGACTTCAACCCGCCATAGATGGACTTTGGTTCCATGCAACCAAACATTGAACTACAATTTCTTTCTTTGCAAAATGTATGAAAATGAAGTGTCCTGTCTCAATTATTCAGATGGTGTTTATTGCTTATTAAAATAACTTATTGATTTATTTTGGTGTGGTATTGATAATAAACATTTTTGATTGTTTGGATAAATAACTTATATTGGTGTCAAACCGACAATAAGAAGTTTTTAAAAAGTTAAACCATTTTAACCTATAATAAGTTGATAAACATTTTTTTTAAAGTATAAGTTGTTTAAAATAAGCAATCTCAAACACCCTCTTATTAATATAACAAAAGTTTTGTATTTTTTATCTGATTTGAACGATAACTTGATGACCTTATAATATTAATAACGTGAATGTCAAGTTTATTGTTCACTTGGTTGTAAAAGATTAACATGTTATTGTTTAAAACGTGTATACTTTGTTACATCACTTGAGAAAAAGAAACTTAATTTATTATATTAAACTAGAAGGGTACTCGTGCAATGCAGCGAGATACATTTTAATTTTAATATTTTATTTTATTATTTATCTCAGTTGATGTTATAATATGGTCTTATGTGATTTTGAAAAAACGATTATGTTTTTATTTTTCAATAAAATATAAATTTGAAGATATCATAAAAATTTGACAAAATTATATCAATATTATTATTAAATTAACTATTTAATAGCATTCGTTTTTTGGTGTAACTTATTTAATTTAATTTTTTTATTGTAATTTAATTTATGTAT